GATGAAAAAAAAGTCATTTCTTATTTCAGCATTATCCTCACTCGGTCATTTTCTCCCACTGGCGTTTCCAATTTATTAGCATTTTAAGTGAGAATATTCGAGAAAGTATAAAATTCTCAAAATCGCTAGGAAATTTTTTAAATAATTAACTTGTCCATCAGTGCAGCTTGAAATTTATTAGGCAATCCACACTCTCCACGTGAGAAAAAGAAAAATGAAGACAGGGACACGTAGACTGGGAAGGCAATAAAGATAATGAGAATGTAATCCAGGGACCAGGGACCAGAGACCAGAGGGAGATGAGCAGTACAAAATAGAGTGAAGGGGTATGGAGTGGATGACAATGTCCTCCATGTAGAGTACACGTAAATGTACTCTCCCTTGTGGCGCAATCCTGGGGCCGTATGACAAGGCGGGCTGAGGTTGAGGAGAAAATACAAGGGGGAGGGGTGGTTGTGGGTGGAAAATAGGAGGTTGAGTGTAGCGAAACGACGGGCACACATACGATAGTACAGTTGGTACAGGGACAGGTGCTACTGACGCCTTTGATCTTTTCCGCGTTACACGCGACGTAGCATCCCCCAGCAGACGAAAAAGGGAATTATCGAAATATTCCCTGAGTCTGTGTGCCATGCTATCTCGTGCACTCAGATATATCCTCCACTGGTTTGAAATAAAACGCTCCAGGCGCTGTTCGTCACTCTGACTCTTTTGCCAAATGAGAAATATCCTTTTTACGGGTACTGCGGAGGTCTCTGTGTCTTTTTGAGAAAAATTCCGCAAGAAAGAGCTAGCCATATGTATAAATACGAAGATAGCAAAATAGGGGGGGAATTCACCTGCTCATTGGCACATTTTTTTTCACATTTTTTTCCACATTTTTTTTCGCATTTTTTTGGGGCGGAACTAGCTTTATATTTACATTTATTTTCAGCCTAACACATTGGTTTTATCTCGGCTTAGCAACAAAATATATTATATATATATATATATATTGTCGATTCCACATATTGAACTGATAAGAATGTGCGTTTAATTGAAATTAAGGTAATGAGGCTGGGGATGAGGATGAAGTTTCTCATTGAGAATGTTTTTTTTTTCTCAATGGGAATGAGTTTTGGTGGGGAAAGTGGGGAAGGTGGGGAAGAGGTTTAAATAGATGCGAGAGACATACGCACATTGAGATTCCCAATGGATATGAAAGGCTGTTGACGACAAATCGAGGGTTAAAATACCATTGGTAAATAGCCCACCCCCTCGTGTTAGCTAGATCCCTATCGTTGCGGTGCATCCAAGGGGCTGAGGCTGGATTATAGCCCCAATTTGAGACTCAACTATCTCCTCTATTCGAGGGCGACAGGCCGAATACAAAAATACATGCAGACAAATGGTGGAAATGAGCCCGTGAGAGAAACGAGAGAATTGGGAGATTGATAATTCGCGTATTGGTAATTCGTGTATTCCACTTAGTCCGGGTATGGGTAATTATAGTCAAGAGGGGGAGGATTTTCTAAAAATTCCAGAGTTGAAGAAGATCGGTAACTCCCATGCGGATCTCTCTATCACTCGTGGAAATGAGAGAGAGATGTGGGAGCACACACACGGGCGGTACCCTCTTTGGTACATTGAGGGCCCACGAAAAGTTAAGGGATTCGGGGAAAAAGAGGTGGAGGATAGCCAGAGAGAGGGCGAGAAGGCAGCGAAACGAGAAAGAGATTAGTACTTATAAACGTTTTCGTGTTTCTACTCTCGGTTTAGTGGGTTGAGGGGGTTTCACCTCTAAAAATCCCGTAGATCACGATAATTGTGAGAACAATGCCGGGAGGAAATTTCACGGTATGGTTTATCTCTGTCTGACTCTCTGGAGTTCAAGGCATTGGGTTAAACATTCCGCAGAAGCTGGGGCAACTCATACCCCACCTCGGTGTATCGATGATGCCTCACGGAAGCGTCTCCTATATCCTCTAAAATATGTAATTAAGCATGAGGTGAAGTTCACGGGCTAAACACACGGAGACACGAAAGACAGATTAATCTATTTAACTGTTTTCGTGAGACCACTGGCGTAACGGGGTCTGGGATAAAATAATTCTTCAAGTTGTTAAAGAAGAGGAAGTATATAAGTATGTCCGTGACGATGGGACAAATAATTATTTCTTCAATATGTTTTTTGTCCCCGGTGCAGGTACTTTGTTACAGATTCTCTTGGACAACCCCGGGGACGAGGTCGTGGGAGAAACACGTGCCAGTTCTGTATTCCGAGACTCAACCATACCTCCAATGGTCCACCTAAATGTAACCTCTAAAAATCCTCGCGGTTTGGCAGAATGTATAATTACGAGGCATAAAAGTAACAATCGCCCACGAAAAGTGCAGGCACTCGCTATGCCAAAGCACTGAGTCTGGCCGAGTTTAGTGGTTCTGCACCCACAATTCGCTGAGGGAAAATATTTTTCGGCGTTCCCATCGATCTTCCATTCCATCGAGGAAGAGTTGAAAAAAAAAAGATATTTCGTTATTTAGCTAATTCCTTTTCTTCGTTCTCCCCTGGGCTTTCAACCGATTATCTCTCTGGTGGAGAAGAGTGCAGTTTTTGCTGCTATAAAAGCGGAGGAGTAATAGCCCAAGCGGTGGAGCCTTTTTGTCTCCTCGTTCACTTCCTTCTGCCTAAAATTTTTCACCGAGTGGGGGAGAAATGAGCGTAAGTACGTGTACTGTTGTTAAATCAACCTGTCTCGACTTTTAAAGGTACTCCAAGTGGGTATTTTGAATAAATTCGTTTAGTTTGAACAGCCAAAAACGATAATTACTGAATTACGGTGCAAAACTCCATCTTTCAAGCAACACCTCTAATTCTTTAGTCTCGAAATTGCTCTTGTGAATTTTCAAGTAAAAAATCAGGGAGAAAAACGAAGAAATGGGAATAATAGACTGATGGGAGTTCATCCATGATAAATCGAAACGTCTGGAAAACAATAAAATTTCTTCTTGCATCGGCAATATAAATAATTTCCTCAGTATTACAATGTAACTAGGAAATCACAAAAATGAAGATCTTCCGAGTCTTTCGTTTCCGGAGTATAGCGGAAAAATTATTAAATGAATCATAACGATTCTCCCGGTGATAAAAAAAGAGTGAAGAAAAACCACTAGAAATGTCAATGAAAAAGTGGCATTTTACCAGATCAATGAATAATTTCCCACAGTTAAAAAATGAATAAAAGAAATAATAACTCACCAGTAGAAGAGAATAACCATGGCTAAACGATAACCGCCATCTGTCATTCTGCCGGGTCTAACTCAATTACTCCACGCATATCAAATCGTCTAACTGGCTGTGGGGTGAGGTGAACGAGGCACTGGTATTCTGGCCAGCAAACGTTAATGCGATTTGGATACGTAGAGAGTCCTTTGGGAGATTGTTCCCAAGTGTATATCTTTCCCTCAGTGAGATACCATAAATGATGATATGCATATGTAAATATTGTGACTGAGCGTTACCAATTGGCTTTTCCAGTCTCCCCCTTGTGCCCTAGCCCTAGATTTTCATAGCTTCCTTGCGTGGGAGAAAATTTTCAACTTCACAGGTAAACGTTTTCCCAAATACCTGCTCACTCTTCTCTCAATTAAAAACAAGAACTAATTAAATGGTCATCACTGTTAAAAATTCATTTAATTTTTTATGACACTTGTGCAGATTTTTTTAATTTTCAGTAATGGAAATGGCGAATACTTGAATCATGAATGTCATGGTGACGCCGGAGGATTGGTTATGCCAGGATGATCCCGTTAACAGGATCAGAACTCGTGCGAAACGAGGGGTTCTTCGTTATTAGAGACTATAGACCGGTTGTCAGCTCCTCTGGGATACGATGAATTGCTTTCCGAAAACGTGGAATTATCCCCTTGCTACCTCTCTCTCGCGCAGAAATGTTTGTACAACCTGTCGACACAATGGGGAAGGGTGGATTTATTGGTGATGTTCATTTACCCGGAATCTTCATAGAAACGTTAACGTAATTCAGCGTACGAATTGACAGGTCTCTTTGTCCCGAATACACGAGGGCCAAAGAAATTCTTGTTCCAATAACTTATACCCCATACCAAAAAATCAATGGGTTATTGATTTTTTTCGATTTCGATCAGTCGATCAGTCGATTTTTATTCAATGCTCGATGCTTGCTCAATAATTGATTTAGCTTCAATCGAAAAAATTTTATTTTGACTAATTACGCAGGAGATCTCTTAAATTCTCTTGTTAAATTTTTTTTTTTTGGGAATAACTTATTATTTATGAATAAGAGAAACACTTGGATGACTGAAGTATGACTGTCGAGCACTCGACTTCTTGTGTCAGTGTTTGGTCTTTGGGTTGTTCTTCGTGAGACACTAATGATTTTCAAACACTGCCCTGTAGCATATCAGTCATTAGAACTTCTTTTGCTGGCATGTTAGATGGGAAAGTATGAGGCTGACATCGTTTGAATTAACGAGACTGAATATTAAGAGACTCATCTGTGCAAATCAAGAGAATTTTTAATATAAAAAAGTGGGGAATTGCTCCTATATCGCATATCATATAACTGTCTTTACAGATAAATTAGCAATATGTTTCTGAATGTTTATTTTTCGTATTATTTTTCCCTTTTGTAAATAAGCTTTCATTTTTATTTCATCAAATTGAATGATTCGGTAACAGTGCATTTTTATGACCCAAAATTCAAGTTAATGGTGTTGAGGAAATTTTTTTAGATAGCAGTAAGAAAAGAAGAAAGTTTGATTTTTCCTCTGCACTATATATCAACTTTCCCAGTGCTGAAAATTCCCGGGAAAACTCGAGAGTTCCATTCGCATGAAAAAAGGGAAACCCCAGGGAGAGCAGACGGTGATATCTGGGGACTTGAAGAATAACTCGATTGCTTCCAACACCAAATCTCGACTGTCGATAAATACGTACACCATTTCTATCCCACACAGCTGTAGATAAATTTCTAAATCAGTCAAGGCAGTATACGTAATAAATGCACGAAGAATATTAATCCTTGTAGCAGAAGAAAGTGTTTATTTTTTCACCTATTTATTTAATTATCTCACGTTTGAAATTTCCGTCTTGACAGTTGATGTGCTTTAGATTGTGAAATGTGCAGTAGAAAAGGCATATTTTATTTTTGCGTAATTAAACTCTCCCGATTATTATTCGTTACTGAAAGCTAATTATCATGTTCGAAGTAATAAAGCCCTGTAATTTTTACCCTTGGAATTTTTAATCCAAATTCAAGGGACTCCAAGGATTTTAGGGGACAAAAATCACAAAAAATTGAGAAGGCCAGGCTTTAACGCCAATTTTTTTATTTATGTCACATCGGTCGCAAGGAGTGTCAACACCACCAGAATCTTCTTCAATTTCCACGTCCAGTCGATCCTACATCACGAAGAATTTGAATGGTTGTGTGTATTACACCTGCAGCTACTGCTGTCTCATATCTCTGGACCAGAGAGTCATTGAACAGCATATACAGGGAGAAGATGTTTCCATTCATTGTCATAAGAAATTGCAGTTACAGTGTTTCGGCTGTGAAAATGTATTCTTTTCAAGGAACTCATTATTGTCTCATGCCATACACGACCACCAGGTATTCAATTATTTCGTTGTTTCAGCAATAATTATGGAAATCGGAGAATGATTTATGTTTAATCGAAAAGGGGACGTAATTTGTTTTGCAGATGACAGAATCATGTGCAGTCAGATTGATCAGTAAAATACCCCAACCAGATGGAGAAGGAAATACTTTACCTGGAGAGCCTGAAATTAATAAACAAGATAAAAATATTGAGATCCTAAGAGAAACTCATGAATCTGCAATTACTGACGGAAGACTGGACATTTCGATTCCTTTGGAACAGGAAATAATAAATGACTTGAATGACTGTGAAGATGATTCGGATGAAGACGACTACAGAACTCCAGGAACACCTGAGAAATGCAGCAGGAAAAAAAATCCCACGAAGAAGACTAGAGTCCAGGGGTTCAGATGTGAGACTGAGGGCTGCAATGTTCGTCTACTGGTGGAGGAAAATATTTTGTACCATGAGAGGTGTCACAATGCTGAGAGTAGAGGAGAGGCAGAGGCCTTCAAGTGTCCTGAATGTCAAGAGTTTCTCTGCAACCGATGGAATACCATGGCTGGACACCTCTGGAGATCGCATTTAGTTGATGTTGAGCTACACACCTGCGACTTGTGCAACTACAAAACTCCTAGTCTGAGTAGATTGATCAATCAACACCGGGGAATTCATGGGGATGAGAGGCCTTTTGTGTGTGAGTACTGTGGGAAAGGGTTCAAGACCTCCAAACAATTGAGAACTCATAGAACATCACACAAGTCTGACGAGCAGAACACCTTCGAGTGTGATAAGTGCCAAAGAGTATTTAAGACTTGTAGATTACTCAAATTACATTGTAATTCCGTGCATAGGGATTGTAAACCATTCACTTGTCATTTTTGTGATTTCTCCGCTGCTACTAGGAGTGGACTGAAGCTCCATTTAAGAAGACATACCGGTAATTATTTCAATTAGCCGATATGGTGTAAAGAGAATCCAGGAATATTGTGTAATTATTCACGAATTTTTATCTCCAGGAGAAAAGCCTTTTTCTTGTGATCAATGTGCCTACTCAACTGGAGACCACAATTCTATAAGAAGACATAAATTACGCCATTTGGGATTAAAACCGTATAATTGTCCACACTGCAATTACGCCTGCATACAATCATCTACTTACAAAGTTCATCTGAAAAATAAACATCCGGGTAAAATAAAAACGAAGCTATTGCTCTTGAAAAATGAAAAATTCGGGAGTAATGAATTAATTGAATTTGTAGGTCTCAATGATGGAATTATGTTTTCCTGCAAATACTGCCCCTACCGCACAGTAAAGCAGGAAAAACTGTTGACACATATCACAATACATACAGAGTCATCAGATCAAACTGGAAATGATAAAGATTGAGGAGGTAATGGAATTAATCCAAACATTGTTTATTATGTGGCGATCTTAATCGAACATACACGGTGAAAAAATCTTTCTTATTATCCAACTTTCGGGCTCGGCTAAGTCTCCATCCGAGCTCGTTCAATTTTCCATCGAAGGGCAGTGGATCTGTGCATCGATTCTGGTCTTTATCTGGTCCAATGATGAAAATTATTCTTCCAGAGTAGTTTATCATGTATTTGTAAAAAGCTTCACCGTCATTGAAGTAACAAAACAACATGGCATAATTGGGGGGAATGTCGACTGTGGAATTGTCTTCACCGATGAACAGGACTCTGTCCAGATATATTGTGGGTGAGTACTTGCTTTGCCACCAGCATTTATCTGCTTCCACTCCGATGACATCGCATTCTTCAATTCAAATACGAAAATTAATAAACGACAGCAATTAATCCCAATAAAAATCACGCGACAATTTCATCAATTAAATTTTTCAGAAATTGTCTCTATTTAATTTCTATAGTATTTCTGAGATCTGAAATAATAAAAATGAGTTTCATTTTACTCACTAGTGTACTGTTTTATAATCCATTCTAATAATCCGGTTCCACATCCAATACTGACGATCCCGTGGACCCCGTGCTCCAGAATGGTTCCCTCGATCCATTCCAAGTCACTCATGGACGGCCAAACCCATAAAATTCTCCAAGTTTCATAATTCCAGTTTTCTCCAAAACGTATGATATCCTTCCACTTTCCCTCCCTCCACAGGGAATTAATCTGACTCTCCATTTGAGAATCTTACAATCACTAATCAACGAAAAGCCTAGAAACTTGTCATCATCGTTAATGCTGATCGGCGAAGGTCAAGACTACTGATGAAAATAGCCAGAGGCAGAACCAAGTGATTAGTTTTCAGCGTCGTGACGTAAATGGAAGCTGGCAAAATTTCTCATTCAAGTTTAGAGCCTATCGTAACAGGCGTGTTGCCAAGGCTCATTAAGCGATCATTCAATTCAATTGAAAGCAGCAAAATCCTTATTAAAAGCCGACACTTTCAGCTCTTCAAGTCCTCTATTCTTTCGGTTGAGAAATATATAAGCTGTACCATTTTGACTCTGGTGAGATAATTAAACAGAGAAAGGGATATTTTTTTCCCTTTCTCGTGAAAAATACAAATATAATGGAAGATAGTAAAACTTGAGAACACTGTTAAGGAAGAGAACATCCATAAAAAATTAATTAGAAATACCATATTTATTAAACGAGAATTTTTCGTACAATCGAAGATCTTATTGTGGCATTAAGTATAATCGTCAAAATAATAATAAAAAAAAAAAACACTACAATAATCCAGAAAAAATTTATAACTTCCGACATCTAATCCATATCGTCGTTTGTATTTGTAGTAAAATGCATTGAGTCGATTTCTACTTTTGCAATAATCCTGTATTAAATTCATATAAGAATGATGGATTTGAGAAAAAAAAAGAGATTTGTCGATCTTGTCTTTGAAATTCCTTATTATTTAAACAAGTCGATTCTCAGTCGAGCGCAAGAAATGAGCTGTTACGCTTTACCACTCCGCTGAATCATGAAAAAAAAAATTATCAAATCTGAATACTTTGAAGAGCGAAATGTATATCATCAGGAGAGACATTGAGGAGTATCCTCTGCATGATATCCATTCTGGAGTGTTCGCCGAGGAGAAGCCTATTAGCACTGAGCCGAGAGCAGATTTCGAGGGCCTGACTAATATTAGGAGTCTTAACTCCCTCAAAAGAACAGAGCGCCTCGAACTGCTTGTAGACACTGTGGAAAGTGGCCTCCTCGACTCCAGTGCGCGAAATCTCAGCGCAAACAGCTTGAAGAAAAACTTTTTCCATCTCTGAACAATGTTTTATAGCCTGCACCTTAGCACTTGCGATCATCTCAGTGAGAGCCTCATTGACGTCCTGCATCGATACTATTTTTCCCCCATTGGATTCGGCGATTTCTGTAGCCCTTCTGCAGATATCTAAGGCCCTTCTAGCATCCCCAGAGACAGCCGCCACTTTTCTGGCGACCAGCTGAATAGCTTCACTCCTGAATGCATCCGAGTCCTTCAGCCTGGTGGTGACAATCTCCTGGAGCTGTTTGTGATTATAAGGCTGGAAGGTGAGGCGAGTTAGCCCCAACCTCGAAGTGACTCTCCCCATCAGAACCCTTTCGGGGAGGTCCATGGTGTTAGCAATGGTCAGGACGACGAGTTGAGCTCCTTGCTTGGCAGGCCAGTCCAGCAAATTGTAAACAACGTCCTGACGTTTATTACACAGGAGATCCAGCTCATCAACTAAAAGAAGGGTGATGGGTCTGTGTCCAGGGGATTTAGTGAATCGCTTCTCAAGATTTTGGTAGGCTTGCTCCCAGGTCAAGCTCTGTCCACTCAGCTGTTTGAGGATCTGCACGTAAGCCTGCCTGGGTTCGGTCAGTTTCATTCCATTAATTTCCAAGAAATTGAACTCTTCCAGCTCTCCCTTTGACACCAATTTTCTCAGGCACCTGATTACCTCGTTTACTGTTGCTGTCTTTCCAGTGCCAGGTACACCACTGATGTAGATGCATCCGCTGCTGTGATCCAACAGCTTTCGCTGGAGAAAAGTGAAGATATTGTTGAACTCTTCCTCCCTGCAAGGAAGGGACTTGGGAACTGCACTGACGTGGAGCTGGGCTCGTGCTTCTTGAAGAGCTGTCTTCGGTTTCCCCACGTTTGCAGACCTCTGGTGCATGGAGGGAGTCAGTGCTCCATGTCGCAGGGACGGAGTCTGCGGTTTAGATCTTCCTCTTGTTTTCGGAGTTACTGGTTCTTCCACGACGGATGTCAGTCTGGTGACGCGTTTGGGGGTTGTTGGTTCATCCTCTGAGGAGGACAATTTTCGAGTCCTTCTGGGTGTTTTAACCCCTTCAGCCATGGCCACTGATTTCCTGGGAGTTTTCATTTCTTCGACAATTGTCACTGATTTTTTCGGGGTCATCGGGGTATCCAGCGAGATGAGTCTTCTCTTTTTATCCAGGGCTCGCCTGGAGGGAACTTCGCTATCACTCTCATCCGTATTTCCTTTGTTCGTGTCGTTCTCGTTCCCCTCGTCTTCATGAAAATCTACGTATTGGGATGTTCTCGAGCTTCTTCGAGGTCTTCCACTGGGAGTTGTGGGGACAGACTTGAGAATGCTAGATCTAGGAGTTTTAGGGTGATTCGAGCGGGTCGTAGGAGTGGAAATCTCGTGAGAGGGTTCATCTTTCTTCGGAGTTTTAGTCTGTCGAGTCTGTCGCTTTGTGGTTGGAGAATCCTCTGTATCAATCGGTGATTCAAAGTACTGCACGGGTTTCGTGTGTCTCGAAGGAGTTTTCCTAGTCGATTTAGCTTCTTCCTGCTTGGATGATTTATTCGGGGTCTTGATGGAGTCGTCCAGGTCACTAGATTCCCCATAATACTGCACAGGTTTTTTACTCCTGGTGGGAATCCTCCTGCTTGGACTTTCCTCCACCTCCATTTCGGCGTACCTTTTTGGGAGGAAAATTGTCGTTCTCAAGGACGCCCTTCTCTCACTTGACTCAGACTCCAAAGCCTCCACTTTGTAGTTGCTCTGCTCTGTCGAACGTCTGAATTTCATCCTCAGGGACACTTCCTCTTTGTTAGGTGTCTCTGTAATTTTCCCTCGAGTTCTTGGAGAGCTTTGAGGCGTATTTGCTCTAGCAATCCTTGTAGCATTCCTGAGGGGCCGTTTGGGGGTAGTAATAGCCTCTGGATTCTTCTTCGGCCTGTCAAAAATCTCCTCATCATCATCTGAATTTACGAGAGAGCTTAATTCTTTTTCAGAGACCTTCTTCAGTCTCGTCTCTGGCTTTTTCACACTCATTGATTTTTTTATTATTATCTTCGTGTTGTTGGTTTCGTAAAGTTGATAAATCACTGGTGAACCTGAAAAAATAGAGTTCAAATACAAAATAGGGTTTTCTATTTTTTTTCAATGAGTTCCATAAAATGTATAATCACCAGTGAATGGGATTTCAGGTGAGCAAAGTGAATTGTCTTCAATGGAACTGTCACTCTTCGATCTCCTTCGTTTAGATATCTTGGGAGGAGTCCTCAATGATTCCTCTCCCCCCTCAATTATCTCAACTGAATCCTGAGATACAGACAACTCCTGCTCAATGATTCTCCTCCCAAAATTTCTCACCTCTCCAATTAACTCGATAGAACGATCAGATTCCAGTCCCAATTCCTGACTAATCTCTATAATGCTATCCGAGAGGTTAGACTCTTCCTCACTGCTGCTGATCTCCAGCAATTCCCTCACATTCTTCGGGGAGCTGAATTCTATATTCATCTTGTTTTTGTTGTGACCATAACGGTCACTCGAGTGATAACCATTGTCACTGCAAACAATCACTGACATTATCGAGTAGTCCTGCTGTTTATGAGGGATTTGCAGGCACCTGTTGAGCCACAACACGAATTCAAAGAATGAAATACCATTCGCAGGTGAAATGTCAATGAAAAAATATCACGATTGTGGGTGTATCAAGAATACAACCGAGTCAGCTAATTGTTCACTTCCACATAGATAATAATTGTCAACAAGTCTTTAGAGTTTGGCGGGAAATATTAGAGGAAATACCGAAGAGTATAAACCTTCGTAGTGACCCCGAATGAGGTGTCAGGGTGACTCCAAGAATTATAGTGCCGATCTCACCTCCTGGAGGGCGCGATAATCTATTCTTTGGGTATTCTCGGGTATTTTAAAAATTCAAGTCAAGAAAAATTTGAAATTCTTCCTCAAAAAGTTATAAATCCTCATTCGGAGCAGCGGTGAAATTTTTTTTGTTCGGTTTAAAATTTTTCTCACAATTCAGAGAAATGTGGAAAATATGCAAAATCAACGATTGGATGATGGAAAAATTAAATTATTAAAAAAAATTTCACTTTCCTCCCCCAAAATTTAGAGATCAGGCCTCTGGAGCGATGAAAACATTTCCGAATACTTATTCTCTTTTTTTTCAACCGGTTTCGTGGGAGGATAAAGTCAACGTACGCTTTATAGTAGTCAATCCAGCCATCCCAATGGACCGTGAGTATTTAATGAGATTACAAGTGATAAAAAAAATAGTCATTGAAAATGTTAAATTATTTTCAACGCTCCAATTGACATCGAGGGAGAAAAATCTCAATATTTACTAGAAGAGTAAATAAAATTACCGAATGATTTTTAATAATCGAAGTATTAGTTTCATCGAGAAAAAAAAGGATAAATATCAGGACGAGGATGATCTCATGGTATGCGCTAAAAATCAACATTTTTTCAAAGCCATAATTTTCTCTTCCTTCAAACCGCATCGAGATTGAGAAAAAATTAGGTGGGGAAATTTCAATGGGATGTATAAATGTCGACACAGCCCGAATAGAAAAACAGTTGAAGGCGAACCTTGGTCGCTGATAAAGGTGTCTTGCTGGAAGGATCGTGGAGAAAATGAGGTTTCTGTAAGTACTGAAGAAATTAAACGATTAATTAATTCTAGAAGTCTTTCAAAATATGAATTTAACTATCCTAAGAACTATCATTTTGAATTTATTCTCTAGAGTGATACAGCGAATCGAATCGATTTTCCCTTCAATTGAATGTTTTCTAAATTTTGTCGAGGGTATATTAATAGTATAAACAATAGAAATGAATATATAATTTCAGCTTCTCTGTGGCAATTTTCATCATTGTGGCTTTGACCTCTTGGTCAAAGTCAGTGGGCGGTTTGACAGCGGTAGACGATAAAATAAATATTGATGGCAATGACAATAATGATTCTGTACTATTGGCACGTGCAAAAGAACTCTTGAATAAAATTCATGGTGAATATGGTAGTTGGAATAATAAATTGACCCTTGCCTTGTGGAACTACTCATCGAATTTAACAGACGTAAATCTTGAAAGGCAGCTCAATGTATCGGCGCAATTTGCAAATTACGTGAGACAATTGACAATGGAAATCAATGATTTCCCGTGGCACACAATAAAAGATGAAAATGTTAAGAGGCAATTTGAAAAATTATCAACCCCTGGAGCATCGGCCTTGCCCAAGGACAAATATAAAGAGTACGGTGAGGTAACCAGTAGAATGGAAAATACATACGCAACAGCTAAAATTTGCGATTTTAAAAATTCATCTAATTGCAATTTGGCATTGGAGCCGCACTTGACTGAAATATTAATAAAGAGTCGTGATCCCGATGAATTAAAGTACGTGTGGAAGGAGTGGCGAGATGCAAGTGGAAAAAAAATGAAAAATGATTTCATACGATACGTTGAGTTGAGCAATGAAATTGCCAAATTGAATAATTATAGTGATATGGCAGCTTTTTGGATGAAAGATTATGAGGATGATGATTTCACTGAACATATTGAAATACTCTGGCAACAAGTTAAACCACTTTATCTGGAAATACACGCTTATGTTCGACATGCCTTACGTTTAAAATACGGAGAGGATCTGGTTCCCAGAGATAAGCCTATTCCAGCTCATCTTTTTGGCAATATGTGGGCACAAACGTGGGGAAATATTGCAGACATGGCGATCCCCTACCCAGGTAAACAATTGCCAGATGTTACCGACACAATGATTAAGCAAGGTAAATTAATACATACACATTAAAGAAGAATTACATGGAGAAATGCATTCAATTATAAAACGTATACGTATACGTTTATCATTATGTTTCAGGATATAATGCCACAACTATTTTCCGTACTGCTGAGAATTTCTTCACGTCTGTTAATCTAAGTGCAATGCCCGATACATTCTGGAAGAATTCCATTCTCGAAAAACCAGATAACGTCGAATTAGTTTGTCACGCAAGTGCTTGGGACTTTTACGATGGAAAGGATTTTCGCATAAAACAATGCACAAGAATTAACATGGAAGATTTATTGACTGCCCATCACGAGATGGGACACATTCAGTATTTTATTCAATACAAAAATCAACCGACAGTTTTTAAAGAGGGGGCCAATCCCGGATTTCACGAGGCAGTTGGAGATACTATTGCACTGAGTGCATCAACTCCAGAGCATTTGAAACAAATTGGACTTCTCGATAATGTAACAGCGGACAAAGAAGCTGCTCTCAATCATCTCTACATTAATGGCCTCGAAAAAATAGTATTTCTTCCTTTTGCTTATGCTATGGATAAGTGGCGGTGGGGTGTATTCCAATCACATATTCTCCCTGATACTTATAACTGTCAATGGTGGAATCTCGTTGAAGAATTCCAAGGAATTGTTCCACCGGTTCCACGAAGTGAGAACGATTTCGATCCCGGGGCTAAATATCACATCATCGCTAATGTTGAGTACATCAGGTACTTTGTTAGCTTCATAATTCAATTTCAGTTTCACAAAGCACTCTGTATTGAAGCTGGACAGTATAATCCAGATGATCAAGGAGCCAAATTATTGAGTGAGTGCAACATTTATGGGAGTACTAAAGCGGGAAATTTGTACAGGTATTTATACATCCCCGATTAAGGCAATAATCAGTTTAATTTGACGTACTACCCGAGACTCTATGATTTTAGATCCATGTTGGAGCTCGGAGCCTCTCAGCCGTGGCAAGATGCCATGGAGAAAATAACAGGACAGAGAAATATGGATGCAAGTGGACTCTTGGAGTACTTTAAACCTTTGCAATTGTGGCTTGAGTCTGAGAATAGGAAGAACGGTGAACGCATTGGATGGACTGCAAATAGCAAAAGTAAAACCCAAGAAATATAAATAATATCCATTTTTCCTAATTCAAATGATTTTTTTTTATTTTTTCTTCCAGTTTGCACAGCAAAACACTAGACCTGTCCAATCACGTAATGAGCCAACTTCTTTTAATTAATATGATGACTGAGATTTTACAACTGGAGATTCGATTTTTTGTTTATCTTACTTTTTTTGTTCAAAACGGAAGAATAAATTACAACGAACAATAATGATTGTAAACGCAAAATACAATGAGTTGAGGGAAATCGTACGATAATTATTTTCCACGTCCTCGGCCGCGTCCTCGGCTACCTCCTCGTTTACTCGGTGGTTTCACCTGGCCTTTACTGGTCGACGCGGTTGCACTACTCGTTGATTTTTTGGCCTTGATCATTTTGTCAACATCGAGATCATCGTCCTCTACATCCGAGCCATCGATACCTTCCTCATCATCGTCGACAAATCCGTCATCCTGGCTAGCCTGCCCCCTCTTCTTCGAAACAGTTGTTTTAACAACAAATGGTACTGGTGCTGAATTTTTATTGTAAGTCCTTGTGAAAGCCGCTTTGACTTTAGATTCAACGGACTGCATGGGATCACGATCTCCAGGCCAGAGAGAAATCTCAACGAGTGAATCTAAATCCTCTCTCAGCAAATGATAATGATTCATTATTTGCATTGAACGTTCAATCCCATCGGTCCCATCAACACCCAGTGGCGTCACAACAGCATCCCTAAGGGGTTTGAGATAATCCATATTGACAGCTTCTTTACTGGCACCAGTGACTAATCTTGTGTGAGCTGTGATTTCTTGGAGTAATCTGTCGAATTTACCGCGCCTGGAATTCCTGCCAAGCCAAGATGGGAAGTTTATCTGACTTGCAATGTGTCCAGACATAAGTGACCCAGGTATAACAGAAGAATAACATGCTTGCATTGGTAGCAGAGACCAAGCAGTTTGTGAACGAATGGCTTTTTCCACCTGATCACCCAAAGATAGTGAATCTGCAGTGGCCGCTACTCTATCCAATAGCTCGGAATTTGGAGCTTTTGGAATGACCGATAAATAATTCTCTTGGACAAACAGACCAGCAATATTGTAATCGTGGAAAAAGAGATCACTTTTATCATGAATTGTCATTTTTTTGTGCTCTTCAGCGGTAAAAACCTTTTTTACTACCTCCCAAGGCCCCAGTTTGAGGTCCTTATTCAGCTTGGATGATGATTTTTCTCCCTGATTTTTTTTGACGCCATGATTATCACCAATTAAAATAGCCAGATGGTTGATAACTTGTCGAATATCTTGATTAGTGGCTTCAATAAGTCGATCGAGATCATCATTTGATATATTAATATTTTCTTTGCAGCACAGAGTTTTCATGGCTCCTCTAATTTGCTCGGATCTGGGCTTTTGAAATCGCAAGTCAAAAACATAATTCGCCAGAGTTCTCATCTTTGGATGATTTCTGTCATTGCAAATGCAGACAATGGGTATATCTGTTGTTTTAATCAGAGCAATCAATTCTTGAAGGCCACCGCGATCCTCGTTCCCCGCCATTCCATCGACCTCATCCATGAGAAGAACGTGTTTAATACTCGGTTTTGCCTCGGCATTCCCACTAAAATATCCCTTCACTGTCTTATTAGAAAGAAGTCCTGATATTTCATCTTTCAATAATTTCTTGCTTCGAGTATCTGATGCATTGAATTCTAATAAATCAAAGCCTAATTCGTTACAAACAACTTGCACAGTTGTTGTTTTTCCCACACCTGGTGGACCTGACAGAAGACAAGCCTTGAAATACGCGCCGTTATCGTTTTTAGCGTACAATGAAGGTTTCGCATTCTTGACATTGCTGCCACGATTCTTATGCCAGTTGAGTAACCACGTGTGTAATTTTTTGGCATTACTGTTATCTCCATGCTGTCCGATTATTTGTTTCATTTGTTTTGGTCGGTACTTCTCAACGAGTGCGCTAGCATCACTAAAATATTGGGAATTTTCAGTAAACGACTCACCAGATTCCATTGTCTTCAATTGTCGTGGCTCTGGTGCTGCTGCTACAGCTGGTATCGATGATGATAATGACTTCATCGGAGAATTCCCTCGTTTTTCCACTTTCGCCGGTGATACAGATTTTTTTTTCTTGGGTGAATCTGAACCTGAGATTCTACTATTATCTGAAAATTTGTCCTTTTCCCTTCCTTTGCTGTGGATGATATCACGAGAATTACCCGGTGGTCTTTCACGAATTAAAGTCAATAATTCGTCTTCAGATATTTGTTTGATCTTCAATGATGTTGCCTTGGCGATTTTCGACTGGCCTGCTTCCTCTCCCACCACGATGTAATCAATTTTTTTGGAAATTCCTGCTGTTACACGTCCACCGTATTTTTTTATCAATTCACTAGCCTCTTCTCTTTCCAACGAATCGAACACTCCAGTCAGAACGAAACTTAAACCAGCCAGACAATTTGTGGCACCTTCTGGAATTGGTTTAGATCCAGGATTCCTTGCCCCACCTCTGGATAGATAAGATTGATATAATGCTGCTGATTGCTTTTTCTTCGCTGCACGCTCCTCGAGAAACTCTGCTTCTTGCTCTGCAGCTTTTTTCTTGGTATCAATCTTCTTCTTCATCTCTAGATTTATCTCAACATTGAAAGTATTCTTCTTTTTTGAAGCGACTGCCTTTTGATCCACCTCTTCGACTTCATCATTCTTACTTCTTCTCTCTTTATGATCGCTAGAAACCTGTTGCTGGAGTTTAGGTTTTTTTAGAGTAATATCATCAGCATCCGTATCATCCTCACTCCTCGTATTTTTCTTTCTCTTGCCACTTCCATTTTTTGTTTCTTCAGATTTTTGGCAGATTGCATCAGCTTCCTCAGACGCGTCATAGTACTTCCAAAAATCATTGACAACCTCTTTAATGTCATCATCATAGCCGTCACCAGCAGCTTCAGATGACGGCTTTTTTGAACCACGAACTCTTTTCACTGGAGTGGATCCAAGCATGTTACTGATATCGACGATTTTCATTTCACTTTTCTCTTCAGGCTTTTTTTTTTCTTTATCTTTGTTTTTAGATGAACCACTTTTCTTACTCAATGCAGAAACCCCACCGTCTTCCGAATCATCAGAAAGAATTTGTTTTTTAGTTGTTTTCTTGCTAGATTTTTCAGTTTTTTTCATACTGATTATTTTCACATCGTCTTCCTCGTCGGATGATATAATTGCTCGTTTCTTAACTGATGCTGGTTGAACATTACGATTGGAGGCTGCTCCTGCCCTGGGAGATTTTGTAAAATACGATCTTATGTCCTGAAAGAATATTCGTGAATTGAATGAATGAATATTAATCCGTTATTATCTAGAATTAATTCTTCTGTATTTATAACCTGTCAATGCACCATTTAAATATTCTGAGAGAAAAATTAATTTACCTTCGACATTTTGTCCTAATCACGAAGCGATCAAATTTATCTTGTTTACACGAGCATACAAGTTTAATGACAAATCACTGGATATTTAATAACAAATAATAATGTGATGGCATTTGTCACTAAAATGCGTCATCGCCTTTGCAAACATAATGGAGCGATTTTGCGCGTTTTTCTTTCAACTAGCGCCGTTAAAGCGGCCGGGACGTTCATGAAATTCCTCTTTTCAAATGCATTTGCGGATGTTTTATGAAAAGTATAATTGCTGTTTCGACAATTACTCATTAATCACCACATACAGATCCTCTGCGATATCTCCATCTAGATATATATCACAGTTATTCATATTAAATATTTCATCCTCAACAGATAATAGAAATTCTGCGAATTCAGTTTCTTACCGTAAGGCATGCGTATTGCCATCACAAAATGGCGGCAATTTCGACCGAGTCGTTCCGTCATAATCACTCCGGTAAAAGTATGAGTTTCTGTCAGTCTTTTTGAATTTATTTTTCATGTCTATTGAAATAATTCGATACCAACGAAATAGTTTCCCAGGGAAAATAAACGGGAAGACAATGAAAATGAAGCTATCGATAGCATGAGGTCTCGTTCATCGAGTCTATGATCGATCGGATGTGTTCCCGCGCTTTATGTAGACCGGTTGACGATCCGTTGTGATGTTCATGAAAGAAAGTGTTGTGATAAAATAAAAAGTGTTTCAAGTGTCTCGTGAAGTGCCAAAAAAATAGACTAGGATTATTTCTCCCGGGGAAAGGTAAGAATAATTTAATAAGTCGAGAATCCAAGGTTTAGACGTTTATTCTAACCTACGCATAATAATCTCCCCAATCTCCATGACAAAATACACATGAACGAAATCTCGAAAACAATCCGAGTAATACTAGCATTCAAACAATAATAAAAAAAACGAGAATATGTAATTTGAACAATTTAACAAGTGATCGAATAATATATTCAGCTACAGCGTAATTATACTTCAGCGCAAGAAAATAGTCTCGTTATTATTCAACATGAGTCTCAATAATCAATCATCTATCGACATTCAATGCTTTAAATGCGTGTGAATAAATAGCTCTAAGCGTATTTATTTGCAGAATTGCCAGTTTGTGGTGGCAGTCTTGTGCAGGGTAAAATGCGCTTGTATATCTTTTAATGATTCGATAGATTGAACAAATGGGGAGATATTCGTGTAGTGGATAAAGGGATCAGCACAAGCCACCCTCGTACTCATCCTCCTCCTCTTCTTGTTTTTTCTCTTCGGGTGGTGTCTCGGGGGTCCTCTGGGGCTCGTTAGAGGGTTCACTCGATAAATTTGTCGAGGCAAGACCCTTTTCTATTGACGCAGTGTCATGATTGACTTCAGCCTCAACAGTCTCACGACTGGCAGAGGGTTTATCAAGGTTTGGTGATACGTATGGTGGGGCAGCATTTGCCCTGACACCAGCAGGAGGTACCGCGTACTCCTGCTGAGGCAGTGGAAGTCCCCTAGCTAATTTCGCGTACTCCACGTCCATGTGCTTGATGAATGGACTGTTGAGGGCTGCCCTGGCGGCATTAGCGTCCTCGTTATCGTAAGCCTGGAGGAGCATCTCCAGAGTTTGAATCTCTGGAGCATCACAGTAATTTCCCCATTCTCTGAAAGCTTTCTCAGCGGCTACCTGATCGCCTCTGGCCAATTGAACAAGCACCAATACCACAGCAAGTCTTCCAACTGATGGGGTGTGCTCAATACGCTGATGACAGCTTATTTCCCTTCGAATAGCATTGGCTGCCTCATCGTAGTTCTTTAGTTTCACTAAGATTTTTGCTACTCTACTCAGGTACTCGGCTGCCTGTCTTGGGCTGTCTTCGCCCATGACAATCTCCGCTGCTCTTTGAAAAAGTGGTAATGCCTCAGCTGGATTAGAGTTCTCGATCATTTTACCAGCTTTATCGAGAACGTTAGCCCCTGATTCTGGTGATCCGTGCTGCTGATACCACGTGCAAGAAGAATGCGCCAATTTTGGAATCTCCGATAGGTCCCCCAGATCTCTCGTTATCAAAACCACTTGCTCCAAGCTCCTAAAAAAGGAATAAATTCATTTCCATCCACCCCAACACTGCGAATTGATTATTCTACTTCATAATCAGACGGGACTTACTTCGCCGCGTGAAACCATCTACACGTTATCAATTAAAGTCAAGAAAAACCATATCTGGGTATTTTTAAAATATTTCTTCGATAGTCAGCACCTCATTTTTTAATTTCACTCTGATCTTATCTAAAAAAGGATACGATCGATTCTCCTTATAGCAATCTGCAGCTTTGATGAGGGCCTCCTTGCACTGCTTCAGGGATTTGGCGATTCGAAAGCATGTGGCTTAACCATCGTCAAGAAAAGACATCATTCCAATGAATATATATAACAGATGTCCCAATTTAATCAATTACAAATTAATCTACACTCCAAAAGGTGTAATAATACCTGCTTGGTTGTACTCGTCAGCTGCGACCTCATAATCCGGTCTCCACTTGAGCAAAGTTGTTTTCAAGCTAGATAAAAGATGAAGGAACGATAAATCCCATCATTTAACAGGCAAATGTCATCATTACCCAAAAATTCTACCCCCCTAACGTTCAATACCTCTTTTCAGCTGCGCGAATGTGCGCGTTTCCCTCCTCTATTTTTGACATTTTCCTTCGAATGGTGTCTGATCTCCGGACAAATCAGCTTGATACGCAAATAGTTGACAATTTAAAATGAGCAAGTCCACTGAATTCGGGAATTATTTTCCACCCCTGTCAGCTGTCAAATGGCCTCTGCTACGCAAATCACACCCCACTTTTACCCCTTTACTTTTTTTTCGACACATCCAACACAGTCGAGACACAAACACAAGTGAAGAAACATCTGGGAATATTTCGTTGTCTTCCTGCGACTATCGTGTTGGTATTCTCGATCTGGGGAATTCCCCGGGCACTAGTGTAATTGTGAAAATCGAATACATTGGCGGGAAAGAGTTGTTTAGGCGTTGTTCATCAACCGAAAGTTATAAACAACACAGGAAATATAGTCTAGTGAATCTGAAAGTGTTGTTGGTTATCCTAAATCAATAAAAATGTAAGTATTGTTTTTTAATTAATAAGAGGAGCTATTTGAAGTTCTCTACTGTTAGTTAACCTGTCTTTACTGGTCACTTCCATTGTTTATGTGATGATTATGTCGACTTTATAATTCCTGATTGTCCGATATGAATCCGATCAATAATAACAGGTTTCCTAGAATATTGTTTATATAATTCTGCAAATGGAATTATTTTGAAAAAGGGGATTATTCGCTCTAGTATGTAAATAACGTTTAAATGATGCATATTATCTCGTCAGATGGCTGAAAAATTGGAAGACCTGAATCTTCCGAATGCAGTCGTTACCCGAATTATCAAGGAAGCCCTTCCGGATGGTGTGACAGTGGGAAAAGAGGCGAGAGTTGCTGTGGCTAAGGCTGCATCGATATTCATCCTCTACCTGACGACAACAGCTAATACAATTGCTAAAAAAGGTAACAGGAAGACGATAAGTGGGCCTGATGTACTCCAGGCCATGGAGGACATCGAGTTCGACAGGTTCATCGAGCCCCTCAGGGAAGCCCTCGAGAATTTCAAAAAATCACAGAGAGAGAAGAAAGACGCCAACACCAAGAAAAAACAACAGAGGAAGGATGAGGAGGACGGCAACGACATGATTGAGGATGAATAAAAATGTCTTTAATTTACTTGAAATTTAAACATTAAGATTAAAATTTTATACATATTTATAAACAATTAAAATTAAATAATTTCATGGAGTTCTTGAATTCTAGGGGTTCATATCATAGAAGATAAGGAGATAAGCGTGTGGCATCCTTTAGAATTTTTTTTTATTCAATTAAATGAACAGTTTAATTAATTTGTGCTTTAGGCTCGAAACTCATTCTTATCCCCTTATTCATCAGTTATAAGTTGAATTTTACAATCAATAATTGATATTAAATGTGCTAGTCTGCCTCTCCTAATCTAAATAATAATCCCATAAAATGAACGGTAGGCACATGATAACAAAGTCAATACCACTTGGTTTACAATCACGTGGAAGCAGTATACAATTCGTGTAAAATTCTCGATATTGGAAAACTGTACTCGACAATTCGAAGAAAAAATGAGGTACTTGATATACAATGGTATAAAATCACGTGGCAATAACTTTGAAAATTCTCATCTCACTTCGTACTCGATTATCTAATTGTAATAAAAAGCCAACGGGAAATTAATCCCCAAGCAATTCAACGGTGAAGCGTGACGTAGTGAAATTTTAAAAACAATGCTCAATTCATTTCGTAGTTTTTGTTTCAAGGCTTTATGACTGGAATTTTGCGCTGTATAGAGCCGCGGCACATAGGGCATTCGGTTGTTACCATATTTGAGCATGTTGCACAGCAACATAAGTGCCCACATGGCAAAAAAATTACTTCGCACTGCAAGCAAAAAATAAAATCACCAATTAATACAATAAAAACCCAAAAATCTAGCTTCTCATAAATTAACTAAGATTTTCACATAACAGAATGGATAAAAGATGGAATAATAATTGAGAGATCGACTCACTTGTGAATCCATACAGACTACACACTCAGTCGTATCGATACTGGATATAGTCCTCGTGAGGATATTTGTACTGCTGGTAGAAGGCTCATCGACAGGTGCTGTGGGTGCCGATGATCCCGGTTCCTCATCCATTTTCCTCTCGGCTAGATAATTCTCAGCGGCGAGTATTATCGCTTGCCTGTCGTTCTCATTGTGAATACCAATCTACAACAAAATGAATCGTTCCACTCGATTGATCTCAGGGTCGGTATTTTTTCATCGAAATTCACAGTTTATTTTTTTTGTCACCTCTTCCAATTGCTGGTGGTCGACGTGAGGTAGCATTGACGGCAAAGATGCCAGGAATGGTAGGCAGTGTAGAGCTCCAGCGATGGCTACGTGCCTCACTAGGGTAGGCTCCAGGCCCTCAAGCAGGCCCTGGGGTCGCTGGTCCATCAGGGACTGATACTGCATCAGCCAGAATAAACTGTCTCTCCTCGTCTGTCTTTGCTGCTCAATTTGATTTATCGTCTCCAGGAGTTCTGCACGTCTTTTCTCTTGTTGCGCCAGAAGGCTCTCCAGGATTCCACTTAAAATTACTCTCCTTTGAGCAATATCATTCTGAAACCAATGAGAAAAATCTAGCGGCTAGAAAATTTCTTGTCTGAGGGGAATACAGTCCCTGCGAAACCATTTGATTGTTTATTTTTTCATCTTTGCACTCACGATTTGTTGATTAATTTCCAGTTTCTTCCTCTCAAGTTCGATATTAGTCAGCACCACTAATTGCGATTGGACAAGATTAACTTGTTGCACGATACTCCACGATCTAGCATCACTCCTCTCCAGGAGTGCTGCAAGGGCTGCTTTCTGGAGGACTTCATCCTTTCTCAGTCTCTCCAGAAGCCCCTCTCGATCTCTCTTCTGGTCCTTAGCTACTGATGCCAGGTGCTCGTTACTTCTCAACTCGAGACTGAGTAATGACTGAGCTGTGCACTCTCGAAATTTCGTGTATTCCTCGACCTTTTTCTGATTCAGGAGTTCCTTCTCCAGTAATTCTTCCATTGCAACTGTGAAAAAAAAATTCATTCTCATTTCGGATAAAATAATTCTAAATGCAAGTGTTATTTCGCTAATTTACTGAGAGTCTCTCGTGTTCTGCAGCTAGACTGATCGGAGTGACACTGGGACAGCAATTCCAATTCCTCTTTGATTTCACGCTCGTGGAGTTCAGCTTGTGCTTGCCTCTCAGCCTCAGAGCTCCTCAAAAACTCTTTGATAACATTATCAGCTTCTCTCTCAGCATCGTAAATACCTGAAAGTAATCTGACCCTATTGACTTCCCTCTCCTGCTGAACCTTCTCGATTTGCTCCGCTAATTTCGACTGCTGGATGGCCAAGTCCTCCAGTAATTTTTTTCTCTGATCTTTATACATCGATTGCAACCCCAGTTCATACTCTTGCTGCTCCCTTATCATCCTCTCGACTTCCAATAACGCATTCTGTCTTCGCTCCTAAGGAATAATAAAACGTCAGGATTTTAGGAAAAATTCGGAGGACTTAAGCAGACTATGCGGCAGGCGATAAAAAAGCGTAGATGATACAATGAAATGATTACGATAAACGAGTGATTGTGTCACGTGCCTTTTCTCTGTCTAGCTTCGTTAATGTTGCCTAAATAAACAAAAAAAGTGATAAATAAAAATTGCGTTTACAACAGTGAGCGCTTTATTTGCATTCATTTTTTATTTATTTAATGAATGGATAAACAGAAATCGCAGATGTCAGGATTCACTTGAATCCACTTCCTTTCGATTTCTTTATTCCATTCATTCCTCAATTCCATCCGAATAATCTTCAAACCTGCACGTCGTCGTCTTTCTTAGTGCCACAATTTTCCGACTCGTCGAATTTCAATCTTCCCATCTCCACCTGGCCGTCTAAAAATTCATCCCTTGCCCTGGAGTCTAATCCTAACTCGAGAGCCAGAAAGGCAATAATTGCTATTGCCCCACCCTGGGTGACATAATCTGGTGGATAACTCAGAGTCAATCCATCCAGATTTACATGCACCAGACGCTCAGCAAGAGCCAGGGACTTTGGAAGCTGAGTGATCCCCTGGTTCTTGCTGATGTCGAGGATATTTAGAGTCTTCAGGTTCCCCATCGTCTCCGGTAACGATTTCAACTTGTTGTTGGAGAGATTTAATGAAATTAAATTGGGAAGCTCTGTCAACTCTTCCGGCAGCTTTCTTAAACCATTATTTTGCAGATACAATTCCTACCGAATTAAAGACAGCTGGACAATGATCTCTTTTTAAATAAATAAATACTGTTATTATTGGGGATAATTTCAATGGAAATATCTTTTTGAACTGTCAGAAATAATTGCAGAAATAACAAACAGAAGAGAAAGACTGTTAATTTGTTTACCTCTAGAGACGTGAGAAAAGAAATTTCCGAGGGTAAACTCGTGAATTCATTATCACTGAGGTCAAGGACAGTGAGAAGAGAAAGATCACTGAGAGCACCACCCCCTGTCAATGACGAGAGTCGATTTTTTCCAAGTTTAAGCTCCCTTTTCCTGAAAACCTTGCACAACGAGTACACCCCCGATGGAACACTCTTCAATCCACAATCAGAAACATCGAAAATTGGTTCCGGTGTCTCCCTAGCCTGTGAATAATCATCAAATCATTTATGAGATATGCCCCTCGTTTAACAAATCGTCCGTAATTACTTCAATTTACGTACTAGATACAATTTGTGCTCCAAACGCGCCTTGTAGTCCACGTTACCCTTAGTCCCATGTTTCCTAAACGACATTATCGTATTCCTGTCATGACAGTGGTTTCTCGTCCAAGGGTGTGATCATCTCAGTTGATTTTCCTCTATTGTTATCATGATAGTTGGATCTTCACCATTCAACACATTGTTTGTCGGATTCTGTCACTGGGAACATTATCAGTGACTCATTGTCTCAATGTCATGGCAATTTATACCTGGGAATTGTCAGCCAGCGCAGCTGTGGCAGCTCCAGATATTATTTCAATTTTTATGTAAACAATTGAGTCCCATGAGACATTTAACCGATAAATGGTGGCTTAAATGGTTTTAAAGAGGAATCCATTGAAAAATATATTATTTACTCGAAAACACGAAAATTTTATTCATCCAACAAAAATAAGTCCTCAAAAATTCATCTCTTTGTTATTAAAGTTCATTATCTACAATAGATGTAGTTTAACAATTACGGGTAATATCAGTTGAAGTCGGAAATTATTGGCATTATGTCAGAGCCAGTTTTCTAGGTCTTCGTCAGTTACATAAATCCTCTATCAGGGTTAACAGTCACTACTTGCAGTCATTGGAGGGATGGTTCACCCTTCCGCGACCCCTTCTCCTAGGTGGGCTCTCGTTTTCGTAGTCTGTATTCCGTTGGTGTCAACATTCCCCTAAAAATCAATGTAACGAATTGAAATATTACAATTTAACATTGAAAACGCCCTGATTGAAGCCCTGAGTAATTACCTCAAAACCGTATCAAAAGAGACACAAACTCCCTTATCGCACATTCTCCTGTAAAGATGCCAGCACTCTTTTTCCTTAGTAGTCCTGAGGAGAGGCTCAACGTCCTCGATATTCACCTCGACAGTCTCGATATCAACCGATGTCATTCTGAAGCCCTCGGATTCGATCAATTTCGTCACCGAACCCTGAAGAGCTGCCCCAATACTGCCATTCCCCCTGCACTCCACCTGTTCCCTGGTATCAGTTCTTGCCGACGATGCAGACTCCTTGATCTCCATCTGGACTGCACTCAAGCCGCGTTCCTCGCAGGAACTGAATCATCAAATAAACAAAATATCCATGTCAAGTTCAGGGATTTCAATATCAGACCAATCTCCCCATTATCCCATCCATCTCCACTGTAAAACAAAACGAATTGAAATGATAGTTGACACCCCAGCATAAAAGCACAGATATAGAGATCTCAATTTCGACAAATGTGTTGCCTCAACATGAATCCAAATGCTAATATATACGTCATCCTTAAGCTCGGGCACTAGATGGTACCGACGACGAGCCTCCACCCCCTATCAGATATGTGCCCTCCTTTGGCCTAGTCCACCCCTCATTCCTCCACCCCCTGGGGCACAAAAAGAAAAATCCAGTCCTTCTCTTGACTCGCCCCGATATAATAAATCTCGGAGAAATCGAAATTGGTTCGTGCCCACGAATATCAGTCGCAAGTGGGTATTGTACAAGCTTTCATGAAGCAAATGGAATTGTGGTTCACTTCTGTCTTTATTTTGTTAAAAAGTACACGGTAAAAAAAAAAACGAGTCGTGGTTATGAGACATTTAACTTCCTCTCATTTCTTTTATCGTTGCTCTTTTCACCGTGTAATGATGCCAAGATCCCGGGGATTCGAAATGAAGGTCGAGGTACATTTATTAGTTTCTCTTTTCTCGGGAGGCACGAAACGGTATTTAGGCTTCATATAATATTGACATTGGCATTTTAATCGATTGACACATATTGACTCATATTGACTCTCGGTTCTCAAGAATTTTCGAAATATTAAATATTCCCCTTACCCTCCGGTAATTACCAGAAATATTTAATAACCGATAAAAAAAACTCACTCTGTCCTCGCTGGTACACTTTTGATCCGTTGAAGCAACAACTTGCGTTTTTTATCCTGTGAATCACCGATGGGTACGACGAGACAGCGTTTTTCGCGATCAGTGAGTCCTTGATTGAGGTCTATGGAGTCCTCCCAGTACTTTGGAGACGCTGGAGAGATCGGGCTGTGAGAATTTGTGGAGGAAATCTCCTGCCAGGCCGCCCTCATCTCCTCACCGGAGTTCCGCAGGGTGACCTGGGGGATAACCGTCGGTTGAACATCCGTAAACGACTTCCGGTCTGCACTCCGCGGTCGCAGATGCAGCTCCCCATCGATGGAGTCCTGCTGAAACGACACTGTACCCGCACCCGATTCATTAACACTTTTACCATTTTTTAAATCCCTTGTCTTGATTTCATAGAGAACACACATGCGACCACAAATACTCGGGATAACGTGGATGATCGCGTGTCTCTAGTCTACTCTAATTAGTTGGGATGCCGTGCAAGCCTCTTGACTATCACCTAATACCACTAGGCGTCATAGTGACAAGACATGCATCATCTTTCCATTCACAATGAAATAATTCTCCCACATGTACCTCTAAAGTCCGATAAAATAATGCATTTAATGCAGTAATTACCCTATTACTAGTCTTATTACTTCTGTAGTTCATAGAGATAAGGAAAGTTAACGAGGATAATTGCAAAATTAAAAGTTTCTTTGGTGCAACCGTACGTTCCAGATTAATTAAAATCCGGAATAATCTAGTTACTTCTTCAGATGACAAACAAAAGGAATTTCATCACAGTAGACTCTCTTACCAGACTTAATGACCCTCCTGGGTATCAATCCGTTACTCCTACAATTATCCACATTTCCTGTACTTAAATTAGTCACGTTCATCATCATTGGTGAACAACTCTTGATAATCGGAGTTGTGGACAAGTGATTCCGCAATTGACGAACGAGTTTGTCATCCCTCGGGGAATTTTTCTCAACCTCGCTGTCACTGTCCGCATCACTGACTAGTGACACCATAGTGACAACATCGGGATTAGTTTTGGATAACTCACTCTTTCGTCCAGTCTCATCGACCCTTCGTTTGCCACTCCTCGATCTCTTTTTATTACCCATTGACTTGTGCTTTTCGGGTGGCATTGAGTCATCATGAGGACTCGTCAGAGTCGATGATTTTCCCTGATTGATGGAGTTCCTCCGTTCGAACCTGAATGGCACCAAGGGATTCGAGTCCCTGGGTTTGTTCATCTTAGGCGTGTCGATGATGATGTTGACCCTGGGCCGGACCGAGGGTCCTGGGGGATTACCAGGACTGGATAGGGCTCCCCTCCGCTGCAACGGAGGGGCCGAGTTCGTTCTCTTGGCTCTCATATCCCCCACCGGCCTCATGTCCTTAATCACCGGAGACACTAGGGTGTTCTTCTGGACGGGACCATTAAACGCGACATTGGTCCCACTTTGGAAACCCGCACGCTTTGCCCTCGCATCGGTCACCAAATTGACCTTCACCTCTTTCTCGTTGCCAGCAAGCTTAAGCTTGCCTCTGTCTAAATGACGATGGGGATCCTCCAGGGCACAGTTCTCCAAGCCATCATCATCGATAACGCCATCCCTCTCTTGCTCATCCTCGAGAGTTTTAGGCTCTGCACAACTGGACGTCGACAGTCTCGATTCGCACCGATCCTCGGCTGTCTCATGGGCAAGAAAAATATCAATGTTGGACTTGTTGGCTTCCCTCTGCTTCCAAGCCAGCCGGAGCCGCTCAGCAAGTTCCTGTCTTGAGTACAAAATGGCAGCTTTATCCGCAGCAATGACCGACGACGCCGCGAACGTAGTCCTCCCAGATTTACTAGCGGAAGTCGTCCCTATCCGAGAAGCAATCACCTCCACCTTCGGACTATCCTCCACCTGCGAGCTCCAGGCGATTCTCACCTTGGGCCTCTCCACCGATGCCCACGTGCTCTTCTCCCTTCTAGCCTTGACGGGCTGCTCCACGTGATACATATTCGATCCAGGTCGATTATCATCCGCCGATCTCTGTCTTCTCACCTGCGTCCTCTTGGGTGGCTGCTGCAGGGACAGCTGTCTCGTTGGCTGTCTCGACATCATTCAACTCGATACTCAAAAAATTCGAATCAATGGCACAATCGATGCATTCTCACCTGAAAACGATAAGTCATTATCAACGGTGATGAGATCAATCTCACGAACCAACTCCATTCAAGTTTGAAACTTGCCCTGGGACCAAGTGGATTTCCAGCAAGCGTGAACACTCACGTCGGCTCACGCCGGCTGACTGAATCCATCCATTGCCCTCAGCCCAATAGAATCACCTCATCCATAGTAATACTGTAGTATCTACCTTCAAACATTAACCCACCCCCTGATTTACCCCCTCTTCTTCAGACCCCCTTAACTCCAGTCACCCATTATTGATCAAAACTTTGCCTATCATCTGACAGCTTGTTGTCCGCAGTTACCATGGCAGTTAAACTACCCCTCGGGCCCGTTCTTCCGCCGATCATTCGAATTCGTTGAACCTGCCGCACATACAGACAACTATCGCATTCAACCCCCAACTTCTAAGTGCACCTTTTTTTCCTGATTCCTCGAGGGGGAGAAGTTTTCAACTTTCCAAGCATTGTATTTGGAATTCAGCCACGTGGGCTATTGAAGGGTTCCAGGTCTATCATCGTGGGGGAGTAATTACTCGTGGAATCGGCTGGATTCCCTCGATATCGCGTTTTTTCGCGGGGGGTGGGAATTTTTTTTTATTGAGAACTTTGAGATTTTGAGGGATCGTAAGCTAACAATTATTTCTGACGGTTAGACTGGTACTCGTATACAGACAGAAATTTTGTGATTAATATTCTAGTTCGGGGGATGATAAGGGATATCTGAAAATAATTCTTTCAAGTTTTTTTTCTTGGATTTTATTACAAAATGTTTGTGATTACAGGATGTCGATTGGAGACAGTTCCATCGACGATAATTTCGTCTTCGGGGAAGACATGGATATGTCCATTGTTTCCAATTCGGATAACTCGAGTAAAGAAGGGAAAGCAAGAGGGATAATCGAAGAGAATCTAGGAACCTGCGGAATAGCTGATTTAGAGGAGAGAGTCCTGAAACCCGTGTGTCCCATTCTCAAGGAGAATCTGATTGAAATTATTGACGAGATCGAGAGCAAGCTGGGGCGGAGTAAGAGTGCACGAGTCTTCGATGACCTCTTCATCAAGTGTCAGAGTGCACTTGAACCCTGGAATGAACTGATGACTCACGTGGAGTTGCTGGGAAAGTCCCTTAACCCGGCGAGCTTGAAGAGTTTGATCGATAATTTTCCGAATGCAGTCATCAGAGTCTCAGGACATTGCAAGAGTAATAGACACGTGTATCCCAAAGAGCAATTACCACCGCTTCTGTCCGACGTTTTCAGGAAGGCCTGCGGTCTCGTCAAGGTCTTCTGCAATCTCGTCACCTCGAGGATTAGCTTCTCACCTCAGGATGATCAAGCCGTTCTCAAGAGGATCATCTCGGATGTCGGAGAGATTGCGAGGCTGACGACTTACGATCTCGTGACGATGGGCCACGCCTGGAAGACTTTCACGAAGCTGACGATCATGCACAAGGACATCCTCATCCGCGAAGACTGCATCGATAACGTCAGGAGTCATTTCAAGCATTTAACCATGATCATTAACTCTCTGTACAATAATATTATAAAATCCTCAGTGGGTGTATTCGAGAAACGAGCGAAGTGCACTGTCTTCCTTCTATCCATTCTGGAGCGTCTTCAGTCGGTCTTCTGCAAGGATCATCCTCTGAAGGACGACTTCATCAGGAAAATGATGGAGAACTTGATCAACTTGTCTGCAAACCACGTCATGTGCACTGGGGCGAGGCTCGAGGACCAGAAGGATCTTTATAAAGCAAGAGCGAAAATCATCACTTCCAACCATGTGGAATCGATAATAAACTGCTACACGGACTCAGATATATTCTGGAGAATATTCTTGGAGGAATTTGAGGAAGTGAAGAAAAGAAAGGATCTCAAATACGCGATGGGATACCACTCGATTGTCTTGTTGACGAGCCAGAAATGGAAACCTGAAGATCTGTTCTTTCAAATAGCAATTGAAAATATTAATAATCTCCAGGAGGAAGTGCTTGTTAGATCCCTGGATTTCCCAGTGCTGGATGATGAAGATAAGAGTGTATATGAAATGACGCTGTCAGCTCTGATGAATTTTTTAATCAGGCGGATCGATGATTTCAAGGTTTACGAGAGAATGCTCCTGAAGAATCTCATGAGCGAGAGTTTGTGGCCCTCGCTGATGGCCCATGACGTTTTGCAGGGGATTTATAGGATCTCCAGTGAGGAACTCCTGGTGATTCACATCCGCCAGTTCATGGGGGCCTACGAGGTGCTGGAGGAACGAGGTGATAGCCTCTCTGGCGTTATCCTCGGAAGATTGATTCTTGATATTTATGAGAGGCTTTCTACTGAGGGAAGGGAGACGGCATTGAGGAATTGTACTAGTCCGAGAAGTCTTCGGGTGATACTAAAAAGTGGATCATCCGACGATTCTATCCGGGCCAGACAAATGGCCTTGTACAGGAAAATTACAGCTGTCGAGCCAGTCAATAGTCTTCCAGAAGTTATTGCGGATTTACGTCGGCAGCCGACTGTTAAAAATTGGAATCGCATGGTTTGTTGATTAGATTTTTTCCCAGCATGTTAAATTTCGTTTTACAGCATTTTTACTATTTTTATTGTCTTCCGCAATATAATTCGGTAATCAATGTTAACATTTTGTGAAACGTATTAAGTTGATGTTATCAATTATCAGGTGGAGATATTAAAATTGATGGGAATTGTGAAGGAAATTACAAATCGAACGAATACGGAAAAACTCTGCGAAGTTTCTTCTCTGGTAATGAATGCTGTTGAAGACGCTACTGGATGCAGGAAGATTATGCTGTTAGATGTGATTTTGCTGTTGTTCGATTGTGCGGAGATCAATGCTGGGGATCAGTCCTTTAATTGGTCTTTGATTTCGGTAATGACAAACAAAAATAAGCAACAACTTTTGTAATAATGCTCTAATTAGGAATACATTGTTTAATTTGGATATTTTTTTTTCTACTAGGTATTATTCTCGAGAGTGACACATAATTCAGACCTCCCCCTCGATTTTCTGATTAAAATTTGTCATTATTTAACGAAAAATGCGCATCGATTGAATTCCACGAGTAAAGAGAACATGCCAGTTCTATCGAATGTGTTCTGTTATTTATTGAATCACAGGAATGATTTCGTTCGTCAGGAGGCACTCGAGGCCTACGATCACATCGTCGAAACGTGTGGTAATGATGATTTAGTCGGGAATATAACCAGAGTAATCGCACAGCATCCTGAACTCCGAGACATGGTCTCGGCGTACTTGAAAAAGCAATTGCTGGTGGAAATTCCTTGGATCGAATATTTGAGAAGTCTGTCAAGGAATACTCTACAGTTTTGTACGCTTCATCCCCACCAGTGTCGGGAAGAAGAAGAAGAGATTGAACACGAGGAGAAGAGATTCAAATCCGACCGCCAAGATTTAGACGCAAAAGGAGAGAACATTTACGAACAATTGAAGCTGTTGTGTAATGAAAAAAGTGATCTAAGGCCTGAGATACTCGAAAAATTAAAAAATGCCTGTCGAAGATTTCTAACCGAATGAAATCCTTTTTTCATTTCGTTAATTTTCTAATTTAAAATCAAACGGTCTGATAAAATCAGGGGAATAACGAACAATTGGAAGTTTCAGGATGTGACTATTGGACCAAATCAATAAATTTTACAAATTAATAATTAATTATAATAAATTAATAAATAATTTATTGATACTAATTAATAAAAATATGAATATGAATACAATTATGACAAATACAACTAGTATTAATAAATTAATAGTTCTCAGATTAATGAATTAAAAATAGATTATTTCTTTGAGTCGATTAGGTATTTTTTATGCTGATTGATTATTTCCTGGAAAGGGTACGGGTAAAATCAAGGAGGATTGGCTAAAGTAGAGGCTCAGTTCTGGGGGTTGGAATGACCCCACAGTACTGCACCCCAAGAGAGGGAGGGCGCTACACGCAATGCTGGGGTGTCCATCAAGTCGACGGGGTGAATTTTATTTTCTGCGGCAGGAATGCTTTTTGTTTTTTATTTGTTATTGTATTTGTTTATTGCATTTTATTGTTACTGTATTTATATTCTATGTATTTTTTATTTGTAACTGAAATTTAGCCGACTGTAGAACGAGCGGAAGGGGGAAACCACATTTTTTGAAATTTTTAATGGAAAAAATTATTTAATAGGTAGAAGATATACTCCTATTGAAATAAATTATTTTAATGAGCGCGATGTCCTATCGGTAACGTGCTCGATTAGCACGCCGACGGCTGGGATTCGATCCCGCCAACATTAATTTTTTTTTTTTAAATAATTGCTATTTTTTTTTTTTTTGTAAATGGCTAATTAAAGGAAATATTGTTTAAAAACTGAATATTTGAAAATCGAGAAGATATCCAGTGAAATTGAAAAAATTAGCAATTTTTTAAAACGATACTTTTGCAATATATATACTCCTAATGAAATTTTATTATTATAAAAGTGCGTTATCCTAGCGGTAACGTGCTCGGCTAGCACGCCGACGGCCCGGGTTCGATCCCGCCGTCATTCATTTTTTTTTTTAATAAATAATTCTAATTTTTTCTTTTGTAAATGGCTAATCAATTGAAATATTGGTTAAAAACTGAATAGCTCTTCGATTGTCATGTTCCCCTGATACTTTCACAAAAATTTCGAATTTTTCACTTTCAGTGAAAATTTCAGTGAATAGCTCCTTGATTGTCATGTTCCCCTGATACTTTTACAAAAATTTCGAATTTTTCACCTTCAGTGAAAATTTCAGTGAATAGCTCCTCGGTTGTCATGTTCTCCTGATACTTTGACAAAAATTTCGAATTT